CAAGGTTTCTTATTTTTTAAATTCACACTCAGTAATAAAAATTGAATTCTCTCGAATATTACTGGTGCTGTTTGGTTTGCGTTGGACAGTTGGATCGATTTTCGACTTGTTTTGCTCACACTTAAAGAGTTCAGAAAAGGGTGAGTATTCTTTTTTCTGAAATATATTAAAATATATTAAAAGGGTGAGTATTATTTTTTCTGAAATATATTAAAATATATCGTTATTGCACCACCCATGATTATGATTAAGAAAGGTGTAAACAACTCAAGACTGGCAATTAAGTTATGCAAGTGATGATATCGACAGTGATCATTCAAAAGAACGAAAAGGTTAATAATTGCGGCTGTATGCAGAAAAGGCTCATAATTAACCATGTGTCTCTGTATTGATTGATATAATTAACCACGTGATCCTGTATTCGCTTGTATAAAATATATGGTGGATTTTGGGAACCTTTTTCTTTCCGCATAAATTAATATACATAAAAGAGGACCCCAGATCATAGTTAGTAAATACTCCGTTTAATACACGTATATGTACCCGTACGTACTTTATCCGTTTAAAACTTCCGTATCCGTATTATTGTCAAGCCGTTTCATTTTCCCCCGTTCATTTCATGGTTCCCGTACTAAACACGTATAAAACCCGTATAACACGTTTATTATCCGTATTTTACGAATTAAATTGTTAACTTTACTATTATTTATATATTTATTTATTTTTAAAATGATTAATTTTATATATTTATGACTATTAACGTACTATTAAACGTAATTTTAGCTTAAAGATGAAGTATAATGCCCGTACGTATCTTTTACGTAACTTTCCCGTACCGTATTTTACTAACTATGCCCCAGATACATTTTGTATATATAAATAAATCAGTTAATTGCGTATAGGGATGACAATTTTGCCCATACCCATGAGTATTTTACTATCCAACCCAATTGGGTTGGGTATGAAATCCAAATATATGGATATGGGTAAAGTTTGATGGGTTTGTACCCATATTCATTTACTTTGGATTGGGTTGGGTTTATAACAAATGGATTTGGGTTTGTACCCATGCCCAAATACAAATTACAGTTTGGTATCCAAACTTAATATATATGCATATTTAGTACCTAAATTTAATTTTTTTTGCATATAAGTCCTCAAAATATCGATGGAAAATTACGTTTTGGTACCTAAATTTTTTTGGTCTTACATTTTGGTACCTAAATTTTTCAAGTTTTACAAATAAGTCCAATTTTTGCATGTGTAGTTAAAACACCCTCAAGTAAATGGATATCCATATCCAACCCATACCCATTTAGATAATATCCATATATAACCGAAACCCATATACAAACCCCAAACCCATACACACATCACCCAAACCCTACCCATAATAAATGGGTCTACTTGGGTTTGGGCAAAATTACCCATGAGTGGATAAATTGTCATCCCTAATTGCGTATATGGTTCTGAAAACGCCTAATTTGGGTAAGTGTAAGCAGTGAATAGAAATTTGTTGACGCGTAGACAACATTGAGTTGTACTTTAGAATGACGTCAGAGGTAAACTAGACATGGCCCTAGTATCTCGGGACAGGTTACGGTGATTACTTGGTATTAGTAATCACCGTGGCTACTAAGGATAGAAATGGTATTGTACTTTTATTATAATCATAATTATCATATTAATTACGTGATAATTAGGGAGAGATAATTATGAAAAGTAATTATTACAGAAATTAAACCATCGTAAGGTTTTGTGAGGTTTGGATTGGTAGTGTTAATCACTTTGTATGGCTGCACTGGTAGTGATCTGCATTGGTAGTTGTCTTAAATCTGTACAGATTGTATTGGTACAAATTTAATATTGGATTGATTCTGGTGGTATTGGTATTGTGATTATCATTATTGAAATGGTATTGATTTTGCCTCATTGTGCAACGTATTGTTGTGTCTGATTAGTTTGGTATGAATTTCAGTCATTGCAAACATACCAATGAACACACAAAAAGTCCAATGAACACTACCAAAACTGGAACACTACCATTGCAAACACTACCATTGCATAAAACTAGAACACTACCATTGCAAACATACCAATGAACACTACCATTCCACGCCAAGCTATACATGTGAGAAGATAACTACCAAAACAATAGATCACTACCAATGCATCAAATCTCGCCAATAGCCGACTCAGAATCCGGAGGAGGTGAAATCAACCTCGCGGGTGCCGCTTCTTCACCATACAGAGAAACAAACAGTCGCCGTCGCGGGAAACGATACAGAGTCGTCGAACCCCTCGCCGATTCACCATCCGAGAAACAAACAGTCCCCGACCCAGAGAGAAAGACAGCGGTGCTGTCGGCTGCACGGGGTCGTCGTCGACTGCACGGAGTCATCATTGTGGGCTGCACAGAGTCATCGTCATCGGATGCACGAAGTTGGCGGCGGCGGCTGCTGCACTGAGTAGGCGGAGCCACCTGATTCGCGGCTGGACAACGACGGATGGCCGGGTTTTTGGGACGTGAAGGCGGACGTCGATGCTATTGGAGGGGTGTGTCATGGCTTGTGGAGGCGGCCGGTGGATAGAAGTAGGGTTTGGATGAGAGAGGGGTAGTATTAGGGTTTGGGTAGAATATATAGAATAATCAGGTGTGATCTTTTTTTGTTTCCAATATTAGCCTGAAGCAATTTTAACCGTGAGATTAAAAAAAGGAAAAATAAAAAAATAGACGGAGGATATTGAAGTAGCCACGGTGGCTACTAGAATTCTAGTTGCCACCCTAACCCATCACCATAGTATCTCACTCACACTTAGCGATTTCTTGAATCTTAATTGTGCATGCAATTATTGCCTACGTATCGGATGACAAGCTAGCTGGATCGCACTAGTTAATTATATGTGAACGGCTATTTGCCGCCAACCAAATTGCTATTTGCCGCCAACCAAAAAAAAAAAAAAAAAAAAAATTTGAATTCAAATTTTGAATTCTCCCCTTCCTTCCCTTCCTATAAATTTGAATACCATAACATTACCTCATTCCAACAAAACACTTTTGTCGACGAGCCCAGTGCCTCCGTCGCCGGCACAGTTCCTCCGTCGCCGGCCAACTTCCCGTCGTCATCAATCGTCGGAAACAAGTAAGTTTACTTTTTGCGACAATTTTTTATGTTTTTCCGGCGATTTTTCCAGTTTTCCGGCGAAAAACACGGTGGACCGAAAGAATTTGGCGGCCGGAACGTGGCCGGGCCGAAAAAAAATTTCGGCCGGCGCGACGCCCAGCCGAAAAATTCTTTCGGCCCGGCGACGTTCCGGCCGCAAATTTTTTTCGGCCGGTCGCCGAAAGCGCCGCCGAAAAGTTTTCCGGCGGCGCGTTCGGCGACCGGCCGAAAAAAATTTGCGGCCGGGACGTGGCCGGGCCGAAATATTTTTTCGGCTGAGCGTCGCGCCGGCCAAAAAAATGTTTCGGCCCGGCCACGTCCCGGCCGCAAAAATATTTCGGCCCGGCCACGTCCCGGCCGCAGAATCTTTTCGGCCCGTCGACGCGCCGGCCGCAATTTTTTTTCGGCCCGGCGGCGCGCCGGCCGCTATTTTTTTTCGGCCCGGCATATTTTTTTAATTTAATTTAATTTAATATGTTAATTAATTAGTCAATAAAAGTTACTTAATTAGTTAATTTCGATTAACTACTTAATTAAATGTTTTTTTAATTACTTAGATTAGTTAATAGAAAATTAAATAATTAAGAATTGGTTTAACAATTAATGTTAATAGTACATTAGTTAATAGACTTGCAGTTAATTAGTGATTAATTAACAATTAATGTTAATAGTACATTAGTTAATAGAAATTTAATTAATTAGTGCGCATCTATGTATGATATTGATTAATTAGTGATTAATTAACAATTAATTAGTTAATCGAAATTTAATTAATTAGTGCGCATCTAAGTATGATATTGTGTAAATTTGTAGATAATTAGATATGGATGATGCGGGTGGGAGTGAGTTGGGTAGATTCAATGGTAGGGTTGTTGATGCATCAACACGAAGGAAGGTGCCTCAGAAGAATAAGGAGAAGAAGCGCACTCGAGATATTGGACATCAGTCAGAGGCTCCTACTATAGTTGCTCGTTCGTCATCACGGGCGTCTGGTTCCCATGGGGGGAACCAGGGTGCTGCATCGAGAGTGGTCTCTGCTGAGTTTGATGAGGACGATAGAGATGAGGACGATAATGATGAGGATGTCGATGTCCCTCCACCTACGCATGGACATGGACGAGTGCAGGATCGTACGGCAACATCACGTCCTGCTATGTATAGGGACCGAGCTGGGCGATTCGTACCACCTGCTCGTCAGGAGACAGAGAGCTCGGGGACTGGACGGAGTAGGGGAGGACGTTCGAGTGGTCCTCCACCGTGGGAGCTTGTTGGTGAGTGTCCTGGTGGACCTACGGATCCTAGCCTCATTAGGAGCTTCCGTGGCCACGCTTCCTACGCACTTTGGACGGGGCTTGGAGATCGAGGGGTCATCAGTTGCTACACCCGTACAGGGGCGGTTGACTATCTTGGGAACTACGTGTTTAGTCATGTTGAGGCGGAGGATCTGGTTCAGCAGTCAGGTCTCCAGCACCTGATCTACTCTATGTTCCGCAGGATAGCGATTGACGAGGCTTTGATCTCAGCTTTTGTGGAGAGGTGGCAGCCAGACACGAACACTTTCCACTTGCCTTTTGGAGAGATGACGATCCTCCTCCACGATGTTCAGTACTTACTGCAGATTCCTGTTGAGGGACGACTGATGAGTAGGACTTCTGAGCAGCTTGACCATCCGGAGGTGGGTTTGTGTGCGCTTCTTGGGATGAACTTGGAGCAGTTGAGTGGTCGTTCGGAGGTCCCTGGATTTGGTAGTAAGGGTAAGTGGTACGACAAGGGTGGTTTTCTTGCGGACATGGCGTCCAGGTACTTGCAGGTGAACGGGACACATGTGAATAGGGCATCTCTTGCTTGTCTCACTGCTTCAGGACCTCTTTCTTCCACCTCAACAGTAAGACGCCTAAAGTGTTCTCGTTGAAGCTCAATTTCATCATTGACTTGTTGTTGACGTGGGGGGTTTTTATAATCCAAAGTCCGCCAAAATACATGCAACTCTTGAGCATAGAATTGACGTCCTTCTTCCTTAGCTTGAACAACCTGGCAAGCACACTTGAGCCCATGTGTCATCTGAAAATGACACGCACAACGGTCCTTCAACTCCGCCGCCCCATCTAACATCAGTTTGATCGCCTCACAACTAACGACCCTCCTCAAAAACGTGCACGGAGGCTCAATTGCCCTACTCAGATTGCGGTTAAGTGACTTGTGCAGCTCATTCACCACTTCTAGAAACTGATGTTCCATGTAGTTGTGGTTCTTCGCAAAACAAGTGTCAATCGCTCCTCTACCAGACACAAGGAAACTCTTGAATGAAGAGTGAGATGACTCAACTCTATTCGAGCTCGTGTTACCAAGATGAAACACATGGTTCGTGTAGCACTTTGCCCACATTGTCTGACAAGGCAACCACTCACCTCGCACGTAGTCAACCATTTTTATGTTCTTCTGTGTCCAGACCCTCTCAAACTGATTAATCTTTTGAAGAAAACCCTCCTGAGTCCAACTCCATGCAGCTTTGTCGAAATATTTCTTCCATACCGCTTCTGCTACCTCTCTTCTTGAAATTCCACCCAGTAATTGCTCAAACTTTTGCTTCACACAGTTGTTGACGTGCCATAAACATAGTAGGTGGACAGTATGTGGGAGAGGGAAGACCAGGGGCATAGAAGCAAGCAGACCACCTTCTTTGTCTGTCACAATGACATTCGGAACCGTATCACCGAGCAACCCTTTAATACATCGCAGCACCCACTCATATGTTTCCTTTGTTTCCTGCTTAATAAGTGCACATGCAATGTTGAAATTCTTCTTGACTGGAGTAACCCCAATAATCTCAACCCATGGCCAGCCATACCTATTCGTCTTGTAGGTCGAGTCAATGATGATGACGTACGGCCATGCATGCAACATCTGAATGGACGTCGGGTGCGCAAAAAACAGATTAGTGAGCACATTATTAGAGTCCTTTTGCAAACAGATATGGTACCCACGTTGTTCAGCTCCATGAAGCGCAAACTGTATCGCATCCATTTCACCCATCTCATCCAATCTGTTCTTGTAATTTCTGTTGTACATCTGTTTGATATCATGACTCACACCCCCTTCAGTATTGAGTGTCGTCTTCTGCTGATTTGGTCTCACCCCCGCCTTCCTCATTAATCTTAACCTCTCTTTTTCAGCCTCACTAAACTGTTTGTTGTGTCGGTGATGTTCTGGATACAACACCTTTTCATGGTTGTGAAACCCTCTATTAGCTCCGGTTGCACGACTTGTCACTCCCACTAGGACCCATGTGTTTGGACGATCCTTTTGCCATACTTCCTTAATACATATCTGAAACTGGCAACCAGTACCCTTCGAACTAGTATTCCCACGCGTCTCCTTCGTAGGGTCTGGTTTATAAGATTTAACGATCCTACTGCTTCTGTCGCAATACATACAGAGGGCAGTAAGTCCAGAAGTATTCGGTTTCCATGCTCCTCTAACAATAAAGAACCCGTTCTCCTGAGCGATTGCTATTGCAGCTAACTCAGCTAACTCCACACTTGCATAATGGATCCCATTCTCAAATTCTGCTGTGTAATCATGATCGGCCGGTAACCACTCTGACATTTTTCCTACAATTACAATATAACACATCAATATTCTTGTGAACCTAAACGCTAATTTCAACTCTTAACCGCTAAATTCAACTCCTAAACGCTAAATTCAACTCCTAAACTCTAAATTCAACTCCTAAACTCTAAATTCAACTCCTAAAATCTAAATTCAACTCCTAAAATCGAATTTTTCCGACGATTTTTAACGAACAGGGTGGGCCGAAATTTTCCGGCGGCCGGAACCTGGCCGGGCCGAAAACTTCCGGCGGCCGGAACCTGGCCGGGCCGAAAATTTTCGGCGGCCGGAACCTGGCCGGGCCGAAGGAAAAAGGTGGCCGGAGCCTGGCCGGGCCGAAAATATTTTTCGGCTCGGCCAGGCTCCGGCCACCTTTTTCCTTCGGCCCGGCCAGGTTCCGGCCGCCGAAAATTTTCGGCCCGGCCAGGTTCCGGCCGCCGGAAAATTTCGGCCCACCCTCTGTTCGTTAAAAATCGTCGGAAAAATTGTTCGAAACTAAAAAAAAGTTGACGCACCTGCTTAGTGATGATTCATGGATGCGTGACCGCAGTTTACGTCGAGGATGGGCTTTCCCGATGGTTTTCCGGCGACTTTTCCGGCGAGCGTCGATTTTTTCTGATTCAATACGTTTTCTGAAACTTGAAAATGTTGTAGATTGTGAAAAAACTTAACCAAAGATGTACATATATACTTTCTTCTTCTTTTTTTTTTTTTTTTTTTTTTTTTAGTTGGCGGCAAATAACAATTTGTTTGGCGGCAAATAGCAAGCCCCAATTATATACCCTCATGGCCGCCAGCTCAACATTAGCTAGTAATGAATTAACATACTTTGTCGGGAAGTGATGAGATTCGCCAGAGGTGGCACCTGTGAAATTAATATTGATTGAGGAAAGCAAATACCTGAGAAGGGTAAATAATGTTTCCACTATAAGTACGGGTTCCAAATCACACAGATCAATCAATCACAACACAAGCTAGCAAATAATTTGATATTAGATAGTTTGGTCGAGAAAGAAAAAATGTCTCGCTTCGTGTTGGACTCCAACAATCTATGGCTGCTTGCCCTAAGCGACCGCACAATGAGGGTGAACAACGGGCCGTACTCCCCGGACCTCAACACCCAGGACCTGTCCGGCTACGTGGGCGATTGGAAGCAAGTGGCTCGGATCGGCAGCAACCAGCACTGCACCCACCGCGAGCTGGAAGTGTTCGGCGTGGCGTTGATCAGCGGGCAGAAGCTGGAAGAGCTATGCCTCAACACCTACAACCACCAGCTCACCATCAACAGAGAAGGCTTCATGGTGCAGTGGCTCAACCCCGGAGGCGGCCGCAGGGTCCCCAACGCCCGGAGCCTCTACCGCCGCCTCAACGACGTCTTCGACTGGTCCAGGTCAGTGTGGTGGATCGCCTCCTCGGATTTAATTTGTGTGTCCAGAGCTAATATAGTAAAACGACAACTCTTTAATTTGTTTTTGTTCCTTTTCCATCTCTTTCTGACGCGGAAGGAAACGAACACGAGACATGAGATTTTACGTGGTATCTTCGATCGATTGATCGAGACTAATTCACGGTGAGCTCGGAAGAGCTCACAACTGATATTTTATTATGGACTACATTGTGACGGCTTGCTTACGACAATATCCGTAGCTAAACTTATATAGACGTATGGTTAAAACCCTAATGACAACCAACTTTCCTTTTTTGACAAGTACAAGGAATTAATTATTTTTGACTAAATAATTAATGGGCAAAATTTGGCAGCAACCTTGATTGCCGCCCCTAGCTGCTTCCAGTCCATGTGGCATCTAGTGATTGGGTGAAAATAAATCTTTTAATTCCTTAACTGGTAACCAAAATTGGAAGGAGCAGGGGACGGAATGGAGAAAACTTCCGTTATTTCCTTCTTCCAATAACAAGGGGGAGATGGAACTTATACATATTGCATTGTTTTTTTTTTTATTAACTTTTACATTTAAGTTTTCTCCCGTTAGTTTATAATATTCCTTCTTAAAACTTTATTTTTTATTAAATTATAAGTTGGTCACTAGATTTAAAAAATTATTTCAAGTTTACCACTAAAAGTATTTTATTTCATTCGTCATCGCTAAAATTAATTTAATCTTCAAGTTTATCACTCCATTAACTTTATTTGATGCTAAATTATTTCACATTTACCCAAAAAAATCATTCTGCGACATAACCCTCCAGTTGCCTTGCTCGCTTGTTCCTCCCCCCCACTACTTTATTTCCATCGATTAGCGGAAGTAACTTCGTTGGAGGTATAGTATCACTACTCCAAGCGGCAACAACTCATTTGACCATATTATGTTCTGTTTTCTTATTCATGTTTCCGCTAGCATTTACGTATTTGATTCTTGTAAAGTAAGTGCTATTGAGGAATGATTTTGTTTGATTCTTTGTTAAGCTATTTGTTCATGTAAACCATTTCTATGCTTTCAATTTTTATATGAATATTGAGGAACTATTTTCGTTTAGGACTATTTTCCACATTTTATCGGTTGCTTAGATAGAGGTGATCATTCAACTTTTGTTGTTCAAGTATAATTAGCTCTTATCGTCTTATAAATTTGTTATTATGTTCTTTCTTTTAGGTACGGATATATAGTATGAGTCATAAAACACAAGATGTGAATAATATGGTTGGGAAAAATGAAATGTCGTGTATAGGCATGAAGTTCAATGGAGATGACAATGGTTATGAAATTTATGTGTTCGTGTTTTGAACGATTTTTTTATACCAGACCTAATTTATTTACAATTAAGCTCCTAAAATTTATTTACAATTAGGCAACTATATTATTTGACTGCTGCTCGTTGAAGTTAATCCCAAAGTGTAAAAGTTAATTAAAAAGAAATTGCAATCAGTATATGTATATGTTCCATCTCCCACTTCTTGTTAATTGGAAGAAGGAAATAACGGAAGTTTTCTATGTTCCATTCCCTGCTCCTTAAGTCCTTAATCCTTCCAATTTAAGTTACCAGTTAAAGAATTAAAAGATTTATTTTCACCCAATCACTAGGTGCCACATGGGCTGGCAGCAGCTAGGGGCGGCAACTCATGTTGCTGCCAAATTTTGCCCATAATTAATATCCTCATCACTTTCTATTCAATATTAGTCGGTATCTAATTTTCAAATTATATGCAGTTTAGTACTCTCCTATGTTCTTCTGAATCCGCTGTTGGTCCAGGTACGGCGTCCAGATCCCCATCCCGGTCCAGACGGCGTGGGACCGATTTGAGCTCACCACCGGGAAGCTGATTGCCGCTGGGGGCGCGGGCTCCCCGCAGCTGAACAAGGAGCTGGAGGAGAAGGAGAAGGAGAGCCAGAGGCTTCTGGCTGAAAAGGACAAGGAGATCGAGGAGCTGAAAAAGAAGGACAAGGAGAGACAAGCAGCAGAGCTTGCCGCCAAGAAGGAGAACGAGAGGCTTCTGGCCGAGAAGGACGTAGAAATCCAAGGGCTGAAGAAGCAGGCCAAGGAGAAAGACGACCAACTTGCCGCCAAAGACAAACAAATCGCTAACCTCAAGGCTGCTCTCACTGCTTTCGTCTAATTAAATTCTCTGATCAATCCGCCTACAATATGGATTTCCTGTTCTGTGGTTTGCCCAATCAATCCTTTTGAATATTCCTCCTACATATGCATGCATGCATCTCTACCTACCTACGCACGTGTGTTCTATTCTGTATTTAATTGGTACTCTCTGAGGATCTGTTGCCAATTAATTAATAAACTCTATCTGGTTTTATGTACACTCTTACGTACGTATGTACTCGGGAATGGATCAGGTCAGTAACCTTATAGTGAGTAACCATGAGTAACCCGTCCACATCAGCATGACATCAGCATCCTCTCTCTTATGGAAAGCCTTTAATTTTTCCCTTTTTAATCTTTGACGGACGATTTCTCGCTCATTTTAAGTCGAAATTTAATTTTTTTTGCACAGTTAGACCAGATTAATTGTGCTCTTCAAAATGATATCCACTTTAATATATTTTTCGAACAAAAAAAATTGAGCCATTTTTTACCAGCCTATACCATATGGTATCGACTGGTATTGAAATAAAAGCATACCTATGTTTTGAAAAACGTACCATGGTGGTATGAACAAACCAATACTGTAGGATGGTTGAATACATGATAGTAGAAGTATATTAATTGTAATTTACGACTTTTAACATTGTATACCACCCCGTACCAGGGTGGTATTGTGTGGTATTTTTTGGTCCTGTAATTTGTTCACCCAGAAATTTGTAGATCCAATAGATCATGATGAACTCGTCCCTTCTGTGCAAACGTTTTCAAAAACGAATTAAAAACGAAGAAGATACCATACAATACCACCCCGTACCAGGGTGGTATTGTATGGTATTGTGTGGTATTTTTTGGTCCTGTAATTTGTTCACCCAGAAATTTGTAGATCCAGTAGATCATGATGAACTCATCCCTGCTGTGCAAACGTTTTCAAAAACGAATTAAAAACGAAGAAGATACCATATGGTATGCAGTTGGTACCGAGAGGCCATAATTTTTTTTCCTAAAACAATATTGAAAATTGATCTCATTTTGTAGAGCACAGTGAACTCGTTCCATCTGTGCAAAAAAAAATAAAATCCGAGTTAAAACGAAAAAGATATGAGTCAATTAAGAAAGCTAGTGAAAATAAAAATAGTCTTTAATTCTCCATCCTTAGATCTGGATTTTCTAAATGAAGGGTCCAGATTTGGTTATTGATGGGTACTCGGCTCAAGATAGGGTGCATAACCATGGGTTATGCACCCATCAATAACCAAATCTGGACCCTTCATTTAGAAAATTCAGATCTAAGGATGGAGAATTAAAGGCTATTTTTATTTTCACTAGCTTTCTTAATTGACTCATATCTTTTTCGTTTTAACTCGGATTTTAATTTTTTTTGCACAGATGGAACGAGTTCACCGTGCTCTACAAAATGAGATCAATTTTCAATATTTTTTTAGGAAAAAACATTCTGGTCTCTCGGTACGAACTGCATACCATATGGTATCTTCTTCGTTTTCAATTCGTTTTTGAACACGTTTGCACAGCAGGGATGAGTTCATCATGATCTACTGGATCTACAAATTTCTGGGTGAACAAATTACAGGACCAAAAAATACCACACAATACCATACAATACCACCCTGGTACGGGGTGGTATTGTATGGTATCTTCTTCGTTTTTAATTCGTTTTTGAAAACGTTTGCACAGAAGGGACGAGTTCATCATGATCTATTGGATCTACAAATTTCTGGGTGAACAAATTACAGGACCAAAAAATACCACACAATACCATACAATACCACCCTGGTACGAGGTGGTATTGTGTGGTATGCAATGTTAAAAGTCGTAAATTACAATTAATATACTTCTACTATCATGTATTCAACCATCCTACAGTATTGGTTTGTTCATACCACCATGGTACGTTTTTCAAAACATAGGTTTGCTTTTATTTCAATACCAGTCAATACCATATGGTATAGGCTGGTAAAAAATGGCTCAATTTTTTTTGTTCGAAAAATATATTAAAGTGGATATCATTTTGAAGAGGACAATTAATCTGATCTAACTGTGCAAAAAAAATTAAATTTCGACTTAAAATGAGCGAGAAATCGTCCGTCAAAGATTAAAGAGGGAAAAATTAAAGGCTTTCCATGAGAGAGAGGATGCTGATGTCATGCTGATGTGGACGGGTTACTCATGGTTACTCACCATAAGGTTACTGACCTGATCCATTCCCATGTACTCTACCTACTTACGTGGTATATGATATTTGTGCTTTGCTTCATAAAGATTCTTCGATATGATCCAATTCCGAATAAAATCATCGAACGCGGATGATATGACCAAAGTATGCAGTTTCTATGATCTTTTTAAGGTTCTATGAATGTTGCCTTTCTTGAAATCGAAAATAAAGGATAGGATGGAATCAATCGGAGAATCCCAACTCGTGATGAACCTAGGAAAATTGGTATATATATTAAATCAATCGGACAACATCAACTCGTAGAAAGAGGCAATTGATATAAGTCGATGCTCGCCACAACTAGACCCGTTCTCTAGTGGATAAGAGACACGTACATAAAACTCATATAAAAACTACTAAATAATCAAAATCAAGCAATTAACAAATAATTCCAACAAAATGCACCGCTCCTGCTTTCTTGTTGATTTGCTTGTACTTGGCGGAATTCCTTCTCCGTGTCATTTGCGGAATAGAGCTTACGGCTTGCCCTACTTGAAGTACACTTTAATCCCACCCACTACCAACCAACCCAAGTGAAAGAATTAATCATCTCTTCAATTTTTTTTTTTTTTACAAAAGATAATCATATATTGATTCAAACCATAAGAAAGTTACACCCTGGAATGCAGCCAGGTCTGGAAATCAAAGAATCGACTCATAGTCGGGTACAAAGAAATGGCCTTTCTAGCCACCAAATGGGCTACCCTATTGCTACGCCGACCTACAAACCGAACAAAAAACTCGGATTGGGGACCAAAATACTCCACAATTTCTTCAAGAACAGCC